ATTCAGATGTCACGCAACGAGGAAAGTCTGTGGTCTACGGGAGAGTTGGAAATTAAGAATGGGCAGTCCTTTTTCTCGTGGGTTAGTAAGCAGCAAAAAAACGCGACGATCAGCGATTATTTGCACAGGATAGATCGAAACACTTTGATACGCAGTGCCATATGTGGGAGGGTTTTGTCCCTTAGACGTGAGTTGAGATTAAAGGAGTTCTCGATGGACTTCTTTATGAGGAACTTGAGACGATTTGCTCTCGGGAGGGATGGCATATGGAAGCAGACAGTCACGTTACTGGAATAGCTTCTATCGCTATGTCCAGTCCTGAACTTTCGACTAGACTTGTGGCAATCACTTAGCTCCCCAATCAACTATTCTCTCAGAGCCTTTGATATGGATTTTGGGAGTTTTGCTTTGATCCTCGTGACTTTCGTGTTTAGAAGTAGTGTAGCTAGATTTGTTTTTTCAGTCGGACAGGGTTTGTTTTTGTCTTGTTTTCGGTTTTTGTTTTGATTTTGTTGTTGATCCTTTTTTGGCTTTGTTTTTTTATTGTTTTTAGGACGGTAACTAGGTCGAACCCGGTAGTGGTTTAGGCCTTGAGCCTGCCAGATGATCTTTCATGGATAATATGCGACCAGGGTCTCGATCCGGTAACTTTTAGTAAGTTGTGCTATCGGGGACCTGCCGGCGGTACATTCGCGGGATTTTTAACTATGGGATACTAAGTACGATTATAAGTACAGTCAGTGCAAGTTGTTAGGCCTCTTACGTTGGTTCGCTACCCGCGACTCGCTAGTCATCGGATTAGCGTAAGCGGCTGCGAACGTGGCTTGTGGATGGTACGAAGGTTCTTGGGTGTGTGGCACGTTGCTTGAACGTAATTTCTGACGAATTGTACTGTACTTCATTGTCATTTCATTGCTTTGGCGTGTTTAACGCGGGTTTTTTACTCACATCACTATCTACACTATCTATTTGTTTGGTGTGCGAGGTTTGTAGTGTTTTAGGAGCTTGTGATTGTGGTTGGTGGTGGTTGGGGGCTATGACGATTTTCGTTCTTCCTGTTCCACACAGTTTCAGTGCAGGGTTGTGAGGATTGTATGGGACGGTGGGTGGTTTCGTGCATCCCACATCTGTATAATTATACAAAAATTAACAAAGGTCAGCAAAGTAAAACACATTGGGACATTTTCGATAGCACAATTGCGTTAACATGGACTGATGGTTTTAAAACATATGACATAGGTGAGCTGTTGCAAGTGTTACAGTTCACACCTTATGAAACGATGCATCATGTTCAATGAAACCGTGAGATCATGCATGCAATAAAGCATTCCGCGTTGCCAAACGCACGAACAAAACTTACAATCCATAGGATATATGAAACAAAGATGTACATCTAAGATCATGTGAGTTGTGGACTCATATAACACAATCATAGAACGAGGAGGGAAAACCAAGTAATACTGTTGCACAAGTCGAACAATATGTGATACACGACTCATATCCCCGGAAGTACAAATGTTTTGTCGAACAACTGTTCCTCCTATGAGTCATATCCGCATACATAAGAAACTATATACTCTCCAAATGTACAAACATCATCCTCTTGCAAAAAACTGTACAGAACAATTGTCACTAGTACACATATGTCTCAGAAAAGCGAAGACATAAAAACCGTACCACAAAGAACCTCCACTACCACACGCACCGTTTAAGGCTTCCACTACCCACGAGTCCTAGGCAGGCGGAAAAAAACCTGCATAAAGAACTGCGAAACCAAAGTACATATGAAAAACTAAGAAAAGGACTGCGAACCATACACCGAAACATTGAAACCATCCAAATAAACAGGAAGAGATATTTACTGCCCTCGGCCACTGCCTTCTCGTCGTCGTCCCCGTGTCGTACGTGTCCCTGCCTCGACCAATCTCTCTCTCTCTATCTCTCCCGGCGCCTAAGAAAGTCGATGGGCTCCTCCTATATGTCGGCCTCTGAAGTACGCATCGCTGTCATCCTCGCGTGCTCCCTGTCGCACTCGTCGTGCAACTCCCTCAATCGCGCTTCCTCCCTAGTAATACGAGACTCTAACTCATTAATGCTGCTGTGATGTCGCTCCCCCTTAGGATCCGACACACCGTCCTCTCCAGAAGTGTAGGTCGCCAGTGTGGCCCCACGTGAACCTACAAGTAGATTTCTGCGCGCATGATATCTAGGTTCTCCGAGAATGCGACAAGTAGTCCCCATACTCGGTGCGCTCCGCTACTCCTCCCTCAATCGTGCCTGCTGGGCTGCGAAATCACCCCTCACCGCTCCACTTCCTCTCCCTCGTGCAGTCACAACCACCTCCTCTCCCGACAAATCTGATGTTGTTCTTGTCCCCCCACCCTCCTCTCCGGAGTCTCTGCCCCTGTCCTCTGCTCGCCTGGCCTCCTCCTCAAGGAAGTCCTGCACCTCCTCCACAGGATCACGCTTCAGTGGTCACGACTCCCTGCCACCTGTCCTGCCTCTCCCCCTGCCTTGAGGGTCGTCGACGGCTCGTCTCTCCGCAATATCGTGCTCCCTTATGTATGCCAATATACCGTGGTGATGGAGTGCATCAAACTCATAGTTCGTGTGGTTCCAAATGTTCACATGCGCGTCCATCGGTGTTGTCGTGCACCTCTTCAACTGCGTGAAGTGGCGGACTGCCTTAAACATGTTACCCTGCCACATGTGCTTGCTGTAATTGCAGCACAGCTTTTAGTCACCATGCCTCTTCTCCCTCGTCGCCATCTTCTGACCCCGCGTCACGTGACGCCAAACTCTCGACTTGCTGCGCAGTTTGTCCATTTCTGCATTGGTCGGAAGAATGAAAACATTGCCCCCCGAACTACCTGCACCACCCGTCATTTTATTGTCACTGGCCCTCCCCTCGCCCCCCCTGCTGATGACGAAGTTCCCTGGTCCTGTCACCTGTGTAGTGTCTTGAGGTCCCTGGCCACGTAGTTGGCTTAGTGGCCGCCCTGTCCCACCTTAGCAGCAGCCCTGAGAAGGCACGCCGCGAGGCACAGGTGAGAGCAGCCACTTGCGCGGACGTGGACTACTCCGCGCGACCACGTCTCGATCCGCAGACAGGGCTGCGCGGCCGTGTCCGTGGCCTCGTCCGCAATCGATGACTCCCTCTGTTTCTCTCTCTCGCCGTCTCTCCCCGCGCGCCACCAGCGACCGTCGTCACCTGAAAAGAGAAACAAAAACAAGTTAAGGAATATGAAAAAAAGAAGAAGAAAAAAAAAAAAACTTTTTTTCTCTCTCTCACACAAACACACACACACAC